GGACATGGTATATTCACATTAATGATCTTAACTGTACTGGGATAGAGCCTTCTCTTTGGGACTGTCCTATGAATGGACTTAATGATTATTCTTGTTATCATTATGATGATGCTGCTGTTCTTTGTCAATGTAAGACAGTATAATTCTTGATGAGTTTTTTGATACTCATCTTTTAGTGACTGGTGTGGAGAATTCTACCTGTACTACTGGTGAAGTGAGATTGGCTGATGGTGCTACAGTGTATGAAGGAAGAGTTGAAGTGTGTGAGAATGGAGTTTGGGGTTCAGTCTGTACTAGATATTCATCTAATGTTAGGAGTGCTTACACTTTTTGCCAAGAATTAGGATATCAAGGTACATTCATTTATATTATAGACATGTATACAGCTTGTGTTGTGTACAGGTGGTATAGTACTTCCTAATTCTCACTTTGGTGTTAGTAATAATCCAATTTTAATTTATGAACTGTCTTGTGGTGATTTTCAATCAAATCTAAGTAACTGTCACCAAAGAAAGTATCCATATAGTTGGTGGTGGTATGGGTGTAACAATTATCAAGAATTAAGTATCAGATGTGAAAGTGAGAACACATAGCCAAGAAAATAATTTGATATGATTTTGTACCATTTTGTAGCTCCTTGTGTTGAAAATAAAATGGAGCTATATGGTGGTCCTTCTAGTCGTCATGGTAATATAAGAGTCTGTGTCAATGGTTCATGGGTTATGGTGTGTGGATATGGTAATACTGTCATTGATAATTATCTAGCTAGTGTTGTCTGTTCCAGCATTGGATACTCAGCTTATGGTATGGTAAATTGTATTTTTGTTTTGTCAGTAATGTAATCATGTAGGTGCTAAAAGTGCTAGAGGTCTATGGAATAATTATAACTATCCGTATCAGTTTTATAATGTTCAGTGCTATGGAAATGAGAGTAGCTTATTAGACTGTCAGTATAACACTACAGGATCATGTTCTAATGTGCACAATGCAGCAGTTACTGTCTTTTGCCTACTCAATGGTATACATATAATAGTGATTATCATTAATTGATACCATTTAGATGAGTTCATTCCAGCTAACTGTACAGATGGTGATGTTAGACTTTATGGTGGGTCTACACCTAACCAAGGAATACTTCATGTGTGTAGTAATGGAATCTGGGGAACTGTCTGTAGTAATAACAATTGGAAGAGCATTGAAACTGATGTTGCTTGTTTTCAGTTGGGGTACTATAGCTATGGTTCGTTTAATTAATATATAGCAATGTGAACAAGAATAAAATTATTTTGTAGGTAATTCCTTCTCCAGAAAGACAACTGGTGGAATGTTTCCGATCATATATTCTTCTTTCAATTGTCAGGGTAATGAAGTAAGACTGTTCTCCTGTAGTTCTGGACTGCATTCTAGCATTCAGTATTGTACTAACAATGCCATTGAATTAAACTGTGAAGGTTAGTTCAGTAACTATGATCTAATTAAGTTACTGCTATTGTTAGCAAATTGTACATCTGGTGACATACGTCTTGCTGATGGTGGATACTATTATGGTCGTGTTGAAGTTTGTGTTGAAGGAATATGGGGGACTATCTGCAGAGATAGCTATTGGGATAATAATGAAGCTAGTGTTGTTTGTAGGCAACTAGGATTCTCTCCTTATGGTAATATTATTCTTTCTCAATTATTGTATTTTGTGCAAATTTATCATCCTGCATGATTCCCAAAATCGTTTACTGGTATTATAGGTTCAATTGCTATTACTTCGTCATGGAATAGTGAAGAGCGTGGAATAACTTTTTTAACTGGTTTAAATTGTAATGGAACTGAAGATACAATTTTTGATTGTCAAGTTGATGCTAATGCTCCTGTTTGTTCATCTAATTGGGCTGATGCTAATGTTGTTTGCCCAGGTTTGTAGACTAATATACTTATTCATTATGAATACAGTAAAATATTTTTAGCTCATGGTGTTTCAACCTATTCTAATTGCACTGATGGTGATATTAGATTGGTTGGTGGTAGCACAGTATATGAAGGAAGAGTTGAAGTTTGCCTTAATAATGCATGGGGAACTGTTTACAACTCTTACAGAGAATACTTTGCTCAGACAGTATGCAATGCATTAGGTTTTACCTCTCCTGGTACGTATTGGTATATAGTTATGTATATATTTTATATGCATTCTGTATAGGTGCTATGAACACGTATGCTTATAACACAAAATTTGGTAAAGGAAGTGGTCCAATATTAATGTATACATACTGCTATTATTCAAGGAATTCATTGTTTGACTGTACTTTACGACCACAGTACATTCCTCGTACTAGCCATGAGTATGATGCTGGTGTAAGGTGTGAAAGTAAGGGTTTTACCTGCTCCTGTTGATTTTAATTAACATTATTCACAGCTCCTTGTGAAAATGGTAACATCAGACTAGTTGGTGGTTCTGATCCATTGATAGGAAGAGTGGAGCTGTGTGTTAATAAGACCTGGGGTACTATATGTGATGATTACTGGGATGACAATGATGCCAGTGTTGTGTGTAGGCAAGTTGGATTTTCTGGACAAGGTAGTAGTATATGCATAATTATACTTATTTGTACATCATTAATAAATGATAGGGGCTAAAGCAAGAAGTAATTTATACACAGAAGGTCTCAAATCATTTCACATTATTGACTTAAA